TAAATGACACCGGACTTTTGGTTAACGGGTACTGGGTCTTTAGGCCACATAAGTTGTCTGCGGAGGTCTTCCTCACTATCCACCGATTAGAACGCAACTGACCACCACGCCCCGGTACTATGATCCTCGGTGGGAACGGAGGGCGAAGCACCATTAAATCAATCGCGCTGTCCACGAAACACTCCCCCACACAGAACATCGTGAAGTGCCTGTGACTAGTGAAAATACAACAATAAAGGCAACCCCGCTAAACGGAACAGAACGCAAAAACAGGTCTAAATGAAAGGCAGTACGGACAGTAAAAAAAAACAGAGTGAAATACAAACACGAGTACCAGAAGCCACATGCATGACAACAGAGCGTAGGAGGAAGACAGTTTTATGCAACCCGTAACACAGTAACAGTACGAACAGTGTGTGCGTAACAGGCAGCATAACTGGAGGTGGTGGAAAGGGGAGATTACCCGGAAAAACGATGCCAAATACTTTTGGGTTGAGTTGGTGTGATCGAGCTAACGCACACGTGGGGGTAAAACGAAGAAAAAGAAGCAATAAGCATAGTTCAGGGTAAATGCCTGCTTACAACCTCTTTAAATACAAAGGGAAGAAGCAGACAGATGCGGTGTCGTTCGCGTTTTTACTCTAGAGACCGGAACACCACGAACAACCGTTTGACGAGCCAATCAAGCGGAGGCCTAGCATATGACGGGGTTACAATCAACAAGAGCCCTATGCACAAATAAAGTAAGCATTACGTGAATGGGCTATTACAGCCATCCACCATAAGCTGCTGGTTTTTACCGTCTTTGTTGGTTTTTCATGTGCACTGCTCATTAATGGAAACGGAACGGGAACGGAAATGATTCGTCCAAGAACAAAGCCGGTGAATCGTAATTCCCAGATGGCACAGCATTTTCCAGATCGCTTCCGGGTTGGTGGGTCAACCGACAGATTGCTTCACTCACGTACTTGAATTCTAGGGCTCTCCCTAACAGAGTTAAAAGATGGTTTACTGGTGATCATTAGAAAGCCAGAAATGCGCTTCATTTCGGTCAGTCAACACCGATCGATAAGTTAAGCGAATTTTTTTTTACCTAAATAGATACTTTTTTAATCGCCTTTTTACAGCTAGTTATGAATTCATACCGTATAATCCTTCTATAATGCTTCTGGTCACTTAACTTTGTCATTTAATGGAAAGTGAATGCATCGATTGGCATTTTCGACATTTTATATCTGCTGAAGCACCACGGGAAGGCATAAAAGATTGTGAAATCGATTGCAAAGCAAAAAAGAGGATTGAATACAGCAAGTAAAACAGCGCGAAAACAAATGCAACACAGAAAAAATTGAGCATTAGCAGAAGGTAGTGGGGGCAGTGGGCGGGGGGGGGAGCGGACGACTTACCTGGCCGCAATGGCATCGGCTCCCTCGTGGTGACCAGGGGCACAGATGTGATAGACAGTAAAGTGACGAGTAATTACCCGCATCTCAGGGTACGAGAAGAAGCCCGTAAACGAGAGGTCTATTGTAAAAGGGCAAAAAACCGGTAAGGATGTGCACCAGAACGGTTGTAATTGGGTGGTGTAGTAAAAAGCGACCGCAGCGCACACACGCATGAAGGCCAATACGGGGCCAACAGCGTCAAATGAATACAACAATGGTACTGAAAATTCGATTCCCAGGTGACATGTCAAAAGGAAAAGTGGCGTTTACCGAGTAAAGTTTCTCTTTGAGGTCCGACGTTTCGTGTGGGTGTTTCGCCTACCCATCCTCAAAGACTGAAAAGTCGTGCACAGAGCTCTTGTTAAATGCGACAGTTTCCTAAATCCATAGCCCATCACCCCCGACCCCAATAAAAATA